TGTCTTGTGTTCCTAAATAGTGCATAATTTTCTCACCTGATATATTATCATCCTTATATAATTCTTTATAATATTTTACAAATTGATCAATAATATCCTTAGTTTGAAAATAACATTTCCCCTTTTCCTTTATTTTTGTTATGTTTCTGCTTTGTTTTTTATAGCGATCTTTCTTGCTAACCACTTTCCTATCTTGTTGGCATTCTCAAAGTGATATTGTTTTGCAAATTTAAGTTTCTTTTCCATCTACTCCAATTGTAATGTATTCATTTGTTTCCTTAATAATTCCTGTTGGTGGATTTTTTATTTTATTTTGTGGGTTCTTTTTGCCCTGGTTTTCCCAATTTGTTATTTCATTCTCCAATTTATTGTATTCCTACCTTTTGATTCTATTTATTCTTGCCCCTTGTTCTATAAAGTACCCTCGCATGAAGGCTTTGCTGGCGTCCCATACGATATTTATTGGAGTGTCCTTATCTGTATTAAACTTAAAATATTCTCCTAGGAGGGATCTGTTTTTTTCTTGTTGTTTGAGGTCTGTCAAAAGATTATCCTTCAGTTTCCAATTAAAGGCCCTCCCTTTCTCTTGTTGTAAGCTTAGTATTATTTCTAATGGGGAGTGATCAGAATTTAGCATTGGCAGTATTTTTGATTTTGTTATGTTTGTCATTATTGTTTTAGTTCCCCAAACCATATCAATGCGGGACCAGGTCTTATGTCTGTTGGAAAAAAGGTGAAGTCTTTTTCCTTCTTGTGTTGGTGTCTCCATGGCAATCTGGTCTCTCGTTCATATAGACCTAGATCCTCCTTTAGGTTCAAAAATTTTCTGGGCAATATCCCTGATGGTTTTAATTTTTTTTTCGTCTTAGCTATGAATTTATCTTTGATTGGGTCTATCACTCCATTAAAATCTCCCATAATCATCAGATCATCATATTCTTGCCCCTCTATATTTCTTTTTAACTTTCTAATAAATTTATCTTTTGTTTCATTCGGGGCATATATATTGCAAATCAAAATAGTCTTAACTTCTATTTCTAGTTTTATCCCCATCATTCTTCCTTCTTGATCTCTGAAGGCCAGTTTTGATGGTATTTTTTCATTAATTGTTGTTCATTCGTTCAGTCGTCTCCTACTCTTCGTGACCTCACGGACCAGCCCACGCCAGAGCTCCCTGTTGGCCGTCACCACCTCCAGCTCCTTCAAGGTCATTCCAGACATTTCAAGGATGCTATTCGTCCATCTTGCCCTTGGTCGGCCCCTCTTCCTTTTGCCTTCCACTTTCCCCAGCATAATTGTCTTCTCTAGGCTTTGCTGTCTCCTCATGATGTGGCCAAAGTACTTCAACTTTGTCTCTAGTATCCTTCCCTCCAATGAGCAGTCGGGCTTTATTTCCTGGAGGATGGACTGGTTGGATCTTCTCGCAGTCCAAGGCACTCTCAGAACTTTCCTCCAACACCACAGTTCAAAAGCATCTATCTTCCTTCGCTCAGCCGTCCCTAAGGTCCAGCTCTCACATCCGTAGCTTACTACAGGGAATACCATGGCTTTGACTATGCGGATCTTTGTTGCCAGTGTGATGTCTCTACTCTTCACTATCTTTTTGAGATTGGACCCTTTTTTTTTCTGGGCCGGCTGCATAGTACATCTTTCCCAGTGACTTTTGTTCCAAATGGGCGGTGTGCTTTTGTGTAATATGTGTTTTCTGTAATGAAATCAAATCATAACTGTCTTTTTTAAAATGTTGCCAGATTTTTTTTCTTTTATTACGAGAATGTAGGCCATTAACATTATTACAGTAGATTTTAATTCTCCAATCCATGACTGTCATTGTTTTCTTCCTCTAGGTCTGCATTCTTCTTTGTCTCAGTCATTTGGAAGGCATAATCATTAGGTGATTTTTCTCTTGGTCTTTTTCTTCTGTTATCATATTCCTCGTTCTCATTCATCTCTCCTTTCTCGTTTCCTTCTTTTTTTAATGATTTTTTTCCCAAAATGCCTTTGCTTTAGATTCGGATGTAAGCCAGTATTTGGTTTCCTTCCATGTTACCATTAAGCCTTCTTTCTTCTCCCATTTGAATTTAACATGTCTTTTTTAAACTCATCTGTCAAGAAATAATATTTCCGTCTTTTTTCCAGTGTTGTTGATGGAATTTCATTTAAGATTGCTGTTTTATTTCCCTTATAGTGTATTGGTGAGTTCATATTTTCTTTCAGTATCTCATCCCTCATTGTTTTCTTTATACAGCAAACGATTACGTCTCTTGGGGTTTTGAATTTTTTGAGTATTGCGTTTGAATTTTAAACACCCTGTCTAAATTTATTTCAATGTCCATTTTGGCTTTTTTAGTAATGTGTACTATCATATCCGCTATAATCTCTTTGATGTTTTTATCTTCTCCCTCTTTTATGTTTCTAAATCATAGCTGGTATTCTTTCTCTTTTGTTTCTATGAATCCCTATTGGGTTTGGACTGAGTTTATTATACCTTCCAGATTATTAATTTTATTTTTCATAGTTCTTTGTTCAGTTTTAATAATCTTATTTTCTTTTAATAGTTCTTTATTGTCCTGTTTTAATTTTTCTACGTCATCTCTCATGGTTTTCATCTCTTCTTTGATTAATATCTTTAACTCTTCCTTCATATCCTTTTTATTCCGTCCATTTCTTCCCTTAGTATTTCATTTTGTTTATTTTGGTTATCTTGTATTATTTTTTTACTTCTGATTGGAGTTTCATAATTTCTCTCATCACATCCTTAATCCCTATTTCTTCAGGGAGGGAATTTCTTCTTCCTGCTCCTAATGATTTTTTCTCCATATTCTTCTTCCACAATTTCTAACAGGCTGAGGTCCTTTCCTTTTTCCCCTCAGCCACTTAAGTGGAAAAGAAGAAGAAAAGAAAGGGGCCTGAGACTGTTAGTAATGGTGGGAGTTGAAGTCCAAAACACCTGGAATGAGGGCCAAAGTTAGCCCATGCCTCGTCTAGAGTGTCCTTATGTCCTTTGAAGTTTTAAACCCACAGCCATAAGCAGCGAAGCAGCTCTGGGCTTCCATATTTAGGCATCAAATTTATTACCCATTCTCCATCTTGGATGTGTAGAACATTTATTTACTTATTGGGTTTGTGTGCTGCATTTCTCCCAGAGTGGGACCCAGAGAGGGCGACTTCCAAAGCATACCTTTATGTATTTATGGGCAAACTGGACTGATTCTTCAAACGTGATAATGGAAACATCACATTCCATTCACCCTGTTGTCATAATAGAGAGATGTGGGTGAAATTTCACACAGTAAATTTACCTGGAAAAAGGTGTAGTAAGTGGGGAATGTGTGGCACCCACTGCATGTTATTGCAACTCCCAGTAGCCTTAGCTAACATAACTGGAGATGGATGCTGAGGTTCAGTAATATGTAGCAGGCCATATGTTGCCTCTCCTAGATATAAATAGTTACTTGTGAATGTTTCTTTTTTTTGTCCTATTTAAAGAAGAGTGTGTTGTCGAAGGCTTTCACGGATGTTGTGTGTTTTCTGGGCTGCACAGCCAGCGTGTTCTAGAATCATTTTCTCCTGACATTTCGCCTGCATCTGTGACTAATAGCATCTGCAGAGAATCTGTATGAGATTAAAGGGAACCATTTCAAGCATCCCATAATATATCAGAGTGGCATAAAGTGGGAAAGTCATCTACAGGTTCACCATGAATTATAATTCTAGATTCAGTTCATTACAATAAAATTATTATTATTCGCTGATTTGTGTATTTTAAGACGTATTTTTTAGAAATACTTTTCAGGATGTGTATTTGCGTTATTTTAAAATGTTTATGTGTTTTAAATATTCTGTAACCCACCTCAAGCCATGAGGAGAAAGGGTAAGAAATAACACTATCATCATCGTCATCTGATGGTATTAAAGCCTAGTATATATGTCACTTGCTTGACCACCATCAGATCCTCTGAGGATGGCAGGAGACACAGATGCAGGCGAAATGTCAGGAGGAGAAAATGCTGCAAGGACACATTGGAGATGCAGCCTGGAAACCACACCACATCCCATAATCATATTTTATCTTCCTGGAAATTGTATATGGTTTTATCCCTTTTAATGACAATTTTATGTTCAACAGAAACGTATGGGATTATTTTAATGGCTTAAATTAAAATAACTTAAAATAATTTACAGATGGGACCGCAGTGACGCAAAAGGTTAAACCTCTGAGCTGCTGAACTTGCTGACTAAAGATTGGCAGTTCGAATTCACAGGACGGGGTGCTGTTAGCCCTAGCTCCTGCCAACCTAGCAGTTCGAAAACATGCAAATGTGAGTAGATCAGTAGGTACCGCCTCAGCGGGAAGGTAAACGATGCTCTATGCATTGTCATCATCGTCATCATCACCAAAATATTGAACAGGCCCAAGGCCATGAAAAAAAAGCATCACATTCACACAATAGTACCTTCGGAGCCACAGGCATCAAAGATATCAAACAGAAACAATAATCATGCTCCCACAAAGAGCAAAAACAATGCAAGTTAACAATAATTAAAATATATTTTGGAAGAGGGTCCAGTTAACCCTTAGAGTCTCCTCGGCAGTTAATGGCAAGTTTCCCATGCAGTCATACCAGCCACACAACCAGGAGGTGTCTGTGGACAAAGCAGACTCCTCAGCTTGGAAATGAGCACCTCCCCCAGAGCCAGAGATGAAAGGGGAAGCCTTTGTCTGTGTCTGTGTATTTGTATTTAATTGTTTCAAGGCATTGAATGTTTGCCTGTGCATCCATATGTATGCTGGAATCCTCCTTGAGTCCCCTCGGGGAGATAGGGTAGAATATAAATAAAGTATTATTGTTATTATTAATATTATTATTATTAAATGTATTTTGCATATTTAGCTGTTGTTGAAAACCGTCTTAGGTCCTCGGAAAAAGGCGATATAGAAATGTCCTAATAAAATAAATAAATAAATAAATGATATTTTCCCCCTTACTGATCTGCAGCATGTGCTGAAAATGAGCCTTCTGCCAAGGAGCTTGAGGAACTGGAACTCCTTAACAAAGCCCTGGAAAAAGCATTAAGAGTCCGGACCAAGTTCCAGCCGGCTCCAGGCGAAGGTGCCAAACCTGCAGGTGAGAAGGCTGCGAGTGGCACCCCTATGAGCCTCCAAGTTGGCAATGCTTCCAAGGAGAGCACCAGCAGGATTGGCAGGGCCGTGCCTGTGATATGCAAGCCAGCCTCTCCCAAATGGTCAATGACATACATGCCGAAAGCTCCCTACAGAACTGACCCAGTCGTGAAAAGGCGGCCTCTGGGGAAAACGTCTGCCAGGCCAAGCACCAGAGCATCAAAGATGCTGGGGAGGAAGCGGCCTGCAACTGGGACAGCTTCCCTTGTGGCTACAGTGCCTGTGACCGTAACCCAGCCGGGCCGTGAACAGTCCTGTGTTGCCAAGGAGCCCGGAAAGCAAGCACCTTGTGCATTTGAGGCCTCTGTGGGTCAGAGAGATGCTGCTGCCGGTGCCAACCCCCTGTCGCCCGAAACAGAGTCTGATCTTTCAGCTGCACAGGCCCAGGTGATTTCAACCCTTCGGGAGAAAGGGTAAGCAAGTCCCCATTTCATGCTCCAAAAATACTCTTGCTCTTGCAACAAGAAGCTATTGGTTTGAGGCATAGAGAGTTAGAGACAGACAGACAAATGGATATAAAAGAAGGCTAGACAACAGACCAAGCTGGCGAGTATTTATACAGGCAATAATAATCTATATATATAAATTTGTTAGGGGCATCCAACGAGGAAACAAAACTCAAAAAAACCCCAACGAAACTTAACCAAAATTCCCATGCCCATAACACAACCCACAAGGTACAAACATATCTACTCAAAATGAAAAACAACACAACAACACACTCACAAAATGGCAAAACAACAAAACTCAAAAACAACAAAACTCAAAAAAGCCCCAATGAAACTTAACCAAAATTCCCATGCCCATAACACAACCCACAAGGTACAAACATATCTACTCAAAATGAAAAACAACACAACAACACACTCACAAAACGGCAAAACAACAAAACTCAAAAAAACCACAACGAAACTTAACCAAAATTCCCATGCTCATAACACAACCCACAAGGTACAAACATATTACTCAAAATGAAAAACAACACAACAACACACTCAAAACGGCAAAAAAACAAAACTCAAAAAACCCCCAACGAAACTTAACCAAAATTCCCATGCCCATAACACAACCCACAAGGTACAAACGTATCTACTCAAAATGAAAAACAACACAACAACACACTCACAAAACGGCAAAACAACTCAGCATGCGCATTGGCGCTTAACCAAAATTCCCATGCCATAACACAACCCACAAGGTACAAACATATCTACTCAAAATGAAAAACAACACAACAACACACTCACAAACGGCAAAACAACAAAACTCAAAAACCCCCAACGAAACTTAACCAAAATTCCCATGCCCATAACACAACCCACAAGGTACAAACATATCTACTCAAAATGAAAAACAACACAACAACACACTCACAAAACGGCAAAAGGATAAAACTCTAAAAAAAACAACGAAACTTAACCAAAATTCCCATGCTCATAACACAACCCACAAGGTACAAACATATTACTCAAAATGAAAAACAACACAACAACACACTCACAAAACGGCAAAACAACTGAGCATGCGCATTGGCGCCCAGCCGCAAGTTCCCTGGCGCGCGCACATGCCCTTCCAGCCAACGTTCCCTCTGCGGAAACCATGCCCACTCCAAGCCCCGCCGCGCCGCTTCCCGCACACACACACACCCCTGCCGCACATACACACACAACCCCACACTCCATCACTCCCCCCGCCGCCGCACACACACACGCAACCCCACTCCCCCTGCCGCCGCACACACACACGCAACCCCACACTCCATCACTTCCCCCGCTGCCGCACGCACACACGCAACCCCACTCCCCCCGCCGCCGCACACACACGCAACCCCACGCTCCATCACTCCCCCCACCGCCGCACGCACACACGCAACCCCACTCCCCCCGCCGCCGCACACACACACACAACCCCACGCTCCATCACTCCCCCCACGCTGCACACACACACGCAACCCCCCCCTCTTCCCCCCTGCCGCGCACACACACACACAACCCCACGCTCCATCACTCCCCCAATCTTACCGTCCTTTTACTCACGCCACCCAAACCCCACCCCGCCCCTTCCCGCCCTGTCAAAATAGGAAAGGACAGAAGGAAGGAAAGAAGGAAGAAAGAGAAAGGAGAGGAAAAAAAAAGGGGGAAGGAAGGAAAGAGAAAGAAGAAAGAAGAAAAGGAAAGAAAAGGAAAGAAGGAAGGAAAGAAAAGAGAGACAGAAGAAAAGAAAGAAAAAGGGGGAAGGAAGGAAAGAGATAGAGAAAGAAGGAGAAGGAAAGATGGGAGGGAAGGAAGGAAGGAAGGAGGGAAAGAAGGAGAGAAAGAGGGAAGATTGGCCACAGCAACACGTGGCGGGTAAAGGTTGTTATTTCTATTATTATTATTATTATTATTATTATTATTATTATTATGCTATTGTTCCTATGAGACCCTGGAGGAATGGGAGAGGTGTCAGGTCCCAGAGGCAATGCATTGCATTATTGTTATTGTTATGATGGTGGTAAAATAAAAGGAAATAAAAAGTGAAAGAAGGAAGCAAACAGGGAGGGAAGAAAGGCAAAGGAAGAAAGGGGGAGGGAATGAAGGAAAGAGAGAAGGATGAAACCAAGTAGTGAAAGAAGGAAAGAAAGAAAGAGGTAGAGAAGGAAGAAAGGAGAGGAAAAGGGGGAAGGAATAGGTAGGTACCTCTCTTTCATAATAGTCCAGATATCTACCTCAACTTTGATAAGTTTTACTATAGGCCACAGCAACGCGTGGCAGGGCACAGCTAGTAATAATAATAATAATAATAATAATAATAACAGTTCTCTCAATAAGGAGACTCAAAGCGGCTAGCATCAAAAGCATTACAATACAATTTAAAGTATACAAATATTACAACAGTATTAAGCATCATTAATATTGAAAACAATTTGGTTAAATCACTGGGTTGTTGTAGGTTTTTCGGGCTGTATGGCCACGTTCCAGAAGCATTCTCTCCTGACGTTTCGCCTGCATCTGTGACAGTCATCCTCAGATCTCACAATCTCTGAGGATGCCTGCCATAGATGCAGGCAAAACGTCAGGAGAGAATGTTTCTGGAACATGGCCATACAGCTCGAAAAACTTACAAAAACCAAATTTTGTTAAATCCATTAAAAAACCACAGCAGCCCCTGACAAGATCTTTTAAAAGAATCATAATATTATATTGTCAAAGACTTTCATGGCCGGAATCACTGGGTTGTTGTAGGTTTTTCGGGCTGTATGGCCATGTTCTAGAAGCATTGTCTCCTGATGTTTTGCCTGCATCTGTTGTAAGCAACGTTAGAGGATGCTTGCCACAGATGCAGGCAAAACGTCAGGAGAGAATACTTCTAGAACATGGCCATACCCAACCCAATAATAATATTAATAATGACTTTAATCTTTTGTCCCACCACCATCTCCCCGAAGGGACTCAGGGCAGCTTACACACAGCAGAAGATGCCTAAAAACAACATAAAATGAAAACAATTTTAAAATGCAATGAAAAACAAATAGACATATAAACAACAACTAACACTTAATTAAAAACCGCGTTCATCAGCCAATAATGGTGGTAAGCTACTATAAACATGGCCAGGTAGTAAACAATTGAACTGAGAATGAGCTAAGTGCAAAGCTGTAGCCATGGGAAGAGGGCATGGGATAAAGTGCAAGGCTACAATAACAACTGCGTAGATAACTGGGGGATTAGGCATTCTCAAAAGCTTGTTTATACAGCCAGGTCTTCGGGTCCCTACAGAAGGAGGACAGTGTGGGGGCCTGCCTAATCTCCGTGGGGAGGGCATTTCAGAGCTGGGGAGCCACCACCGAGAAGGCTCTCTCCCTCATCCCCACCAACCATGCTTGAGACAGAGCTGGGACCACTAGGTGGGCCTCTCTGGCAGATCTCAGAGCCCATGCCAGTTCATAGGAGGGGATGCAGTTTCAAATATAGGTTGGACCCGAACCATGTAGGGCTTTGTAGGTGATAACCTGCACTTTGAATTCGGACCGGAAACTTATTGACAACCAGTGTAGCTGCTTTAATATGGGCATAGTGTGCTCCCTATAGCTAGCTTCAGTTAGTAGCCAGGCTGCTGGATATTGACCATGTTTTCCAGGGCTTCTGGAAATTGAATCCAAAATATCGGGAGGGCAAAAGACTTAAATTAAAATTATTATTATTATTATTATTATTATTATTATATAAATATCTTGAGCTGATTTATTGGTTAGGAAATGGAGGAAGGGATGTGGCATTGTGCTGAACTTGGCAAAATATGTACTGTGTTGCCATCATGCCTAGGCTATGGGTGGACAGGGGGTTTTCACATGTATATAAGTTGCTTTAAAAATATTAATGATCATGAGGTGAATCTTTCTCTTGTTCTTGAAGATGTGTGGCTCCTGGGAATGCTCAACCTGATGCAATCCCATTCTTTGCAGGTCTTTGCTGGAGTTGCCACATCCCTACAAGAAAGCCTTTTCCAAGTATATGAGGTAAATAAATAAACCGTATGTCGGTAGTCTCATCCAAAACTGGAACTGCCTTCAAAGTGGGTGGAATAGCGATGGGAGGAAATAGAGTGCATTAAGAAAACATTCCAACAGCCTTGGATTAAAAGAGGGAGAACTCTAAAATGTTTGTGTGAATAGGTAGGTATGGAAAATGCAATAGCGCAGGTGCAAAGTGAACTCTTGCACAAATCAAGCACTACAGATGCAATTGCACACCCTCTTTTAACAATCCACTTAACGTTCTTCATTGGGGGAGGTGAGGGCTTGAGGCCAATCCGTATGAGAGAATGAGATGCTCTGCCCAAAGGCAAGATCAAGGCTTTGTACCTTGGAAAGCATGGGCACCCAATTCCACATCCGCAGGGCAAAGTGGCCCAAGGAGTGGTTTACAATCCTGTCTTAAAGACTTACCACACAACATTGGCAGCAATTGAATGGAAAAGTTGTTGGCTTGAGTAATGTAGAGTCGCTATCCTCTCCCTTTAGCTGCCAAGAAGACATGAAGCATGATCAGGGGCCATGTTTCTAAAATACTAGATCCCATGTGCTGGTTTTTTATGCAGTTCAGTTCTTGGACAGATGCCGCCTGACTGAATGCATCCAGCTGGAGCAGCCACATCAAAGCAGCAAAAAGGGGGAATCGCTCTTCTCCTATCAGCATATCACTGTGTTTAGACTCTAAAACAGATGGCACCAGTCTGCGCTGTGTGTGCCTTCATTATATGAGCCTCAGGCAAACCTGCCATTGGTTTTCATGCCAGGGTTCATTCAGGCAGGGCTTTTCACTGTGTTCCGTTGTGACTGAGTAAATACTGCTTACCCAAGATCACCCGGTGGGTTTCCATAGCTCTGTGGGAATTCAAACTCTGGCCTCCAGAATTGTGATCCAGTACTCAAAGCACTACACCGTGCTGGCTCTTAGGCCCCATCTACACTGTCATTATAATGCAGATTGAACTGGGTTATATGGCAGTGTAGACTCACATTTATTTATTTATTTATTTTATTTCATTTACTTATACCCCGCCCTTCTCACCCCGGGGGGGGACTCAGGGCGGCTTACAGTGGGGGCACAATTAGATGCCCAAAACAATTCACAAGCAATACAAATACAAACAATTCAACAATTAATTAAAAACATCAGTACATAATAAAATAATAAAACAGTCTCATGCTCAGGGTTCAGAGTCCATATATCCATTCCATTCCATTTGTCCTTGTCTATCATCAGATCCTTCAGTTAGCTGTCAGAATGACCAAAGGCTTGATCCCAGATCCAGGTCTTCAGTTTTTTCCTAAATGCCAAAAGGGAAGATGACGATCTAATCTCCCCGGGGAGTGAGTTCCACAGGTGGGGGGCCACCACTGAGAAGGCCCTGCTCCTCGTCCCCGCCAGCCTCACTTGTGACAGTGGCGGGGTCGAGAGCAGGGCCTCCCCAGAAGATCTTAAGCTTCGAGGTGGGACGTAGAGGGAGATCCGTTCGGACAGATACACTGGGCCGGAACCGTATAGGGTTTTGTAGGTCAAAACCAGCACTTTGAATTGTGCTCGGAATTGGATCGGCAGCCAGTGGAGCTGACGCAACAGGGGGGTTGTATGCTCCCTGTACGTCGCTCCGGTGAGCAATCTGGCTGCTTCTCGCTGGACTAGTTGTAGTTTCCGAGCAGTCTTCAAAGGCAACCCCACGTAGAGTGTGTTGCAGTAATCCAGCCGGGATGTGACAAGAGCGTGGACCACCGTGGCCAGATCTGGCTTCTCAAGGTACGGGCGCAGCTGGCGCACAAGTTTTAATTGTGCGAAAGCTCTCCCGGCCACCGCTGAGACCTGGGGTTCCAGGCTGGGTCCAGGATCACTCCCAAGCTGCGAACCTGTGTCTTCAGGGGGAGTGTAACCCCGTCTAACACAGGCTGTAACCCTATACCCTGTTCGGCCTTACGACTGACCAGTAGGACCTCTGTCTTGTCTGGATTCAATTTCAATTTGTTAGCTCTCATCCAGTCCGACACAGCAGCTAAACACCGGTTCAAGGTCTGGACAGCCTCCTTGGTGACAGGTGGAAAGGAGTGACAGATTTGGACATCATCTGCGTAGAGATAACATCTCATTCCGAAACTCCGAATGATCTCTCCCAACAGCTTCATGTAGATGTTAAATAACATCGGGGACAAAATTGAACCCTGTGGGACTCCACACAATAACGGTTGTGGGGCCGAACAGGTGTCACCCAATAACACCTTCTGGGTCCGTCCCTCAAGGAAGGATCGGAGCCACTGCAAAGCGGTGCCCCCGAGCCCCATATCCATGAGGCGACCCAGAAGGATACCGTGATTGACGGTATCGAAAGCCGCTGAGAGGTCCAGCAGAACTAACAGGGACACACTCCCCCTGTCCAGTTCCCTGCGAAGATCATCTACCAAGGCGACCAAGGCTGTCTCAGTTCCATGTCCCGGCCTAAAGCCAGACTGTGCCGGATCCAGATAATCAGTGTCTACCAGAAACCCCTGGAGTTGTGTTGCCACCATACATTCCATGACTTTGCCCAAGTAGGGAAGATTGGAAACTGGCCGATAGTTGTCGAATTGAGTGGGATCCAGTGATGGTTTCTTCAACAGCGGTTTTATAATAGCTTGTTTTAAGCTCGCTGGAAATTTTCCTTCCTGTAAGGAGGCATTAACCATCACCTTCACCCACTCCGCCAAACCCCCTCTGGCTTCCTTGATCAGCCAGGATGGGCAGGGGTCTAGGATGCATGTGGTGGGTCGCACCTCTCCAAGGATCCTGTCCACATCCTCAAGCTGAACCAATTGAAAAGAATCCAATAAAACTGGACAAGCAGATGCTCTCGTTACATCCCCAGAGACTGCCGTTAACATGACGTCAAAACCTGACCGAATCTGCTCAATTTTATCCGCGAAAGATCGAGCAAATGCTTCACAGCGAGCCACCGAGTTGTCCGAGGCCTCGCTTTTTGGCGGATTTAACAGGCCCCTGACAACTCGGAAAAGCTCCGCCGGACGATTCTTCGCTGATGCAATATTGGCTGTGATGAATATTTTCTGAGCTGCCGTTATTGCCACACCGTAGGACCTTAGAAAGGCATTCAGGTGTGTTTGGGCTGGATTGGTGGGGTTCTGGCGCCACACGCACTCTAACCTCTTCTTCTTTCGCTTCATCGCTGCCAGCTCCTCGGTGAACCAAGAGGCTGGTTTAGCTCGGTTACTCGAGAGGGGGCGTTCCGGAGCGATAGTGTCAATTGCCCTAGTCAACTCATTATTCCAACGAGAGACCAGAGTATCGACAGTATCACTAGCCAAGGAGGTGGAGAGATCCCCAAGAGCCGTCAGGAGTCCATTTGGATCCATAAGTCTCCTGGGGCGGACCATTCTAATGGGTCCCCCACCCCTGCGGAGGTTAGGAGGCCCAGTTAGTCTAAATCTGATCAGGTGGTGATCGGTCCATGGCAACGGAGCGATGGTCGGCTCCTCCATCCCGTCACCCTCATCCCATCCCTGGACAAAAACCAAATCTAAAGTGTGCCCGGCACTATGGGTGGGACCCGATATTAGTTGGGACAGGCCCATGGTTGCCATGGCGGCCATGAAGTTCTGAGCCGCGCCAGAAAGAGGGGCCTTGGCATGGACGTTGAAATCTCCCAAGACCAGAAGCCGTTGGAAGCTCAACGCCATGTCCGAGACCACTCCCGCTAGCTCAGGTAGGGAGACTGTAGTGCAGCGGGGTGGTCGGTACACTAACAGAATCCCTATCCTGTCCCGGTCACCTATCCTAAAGCCGGCACATTCAAAGGAAGATGATTGTGGGATGGGACACCTGATCAGTGGAATAAAGTCCTTATAGACCACTGCGACTCCGCCTCCCCGCCCTCCAAGCCTTGGTTGGTGCTGAACGGAATAACCTGGTGGACAGAGTTGGGAGAGATTGACCCCTCCCCCCTCGTCCAACCAGGTCTCCGTTATACAAGCCAGGTCGGCTCGTTCTTCTTGGATTAGATCTTGAATGATAGAAGATTTTCCATTTACCGACCTGGCATTGAACAGCACCACCTTTAGCTTGGAGGGGCCACCATCCTGGCACCTCAGTTGTATATTGTCAGGAGTGAGTTTTGGGGTTGTCAAATTATCATTATTAATTTCGGGCCGAATAGTAACATTAATTTTTGGAGTTGTCAATGTCCTATTTAGAATTTTGGGTCGAATTTGCTTTTGTCTTTGATTTCTAAGATCTTTGGAGGTTGCCAATTTGTTATTGAGAATTTTGGGCCGAAATGAATGTTTTATACTCCCTTTCCCGTATCTCCCTCTCCCAGTCACCACCTCTATGGCGGCCCCTCCACCCACAGCCCCACCCCCCTCGGGGACGTTCCCTCCATTTCCAGCAGTTGTAATCTCAGTTGTGGGCGCATACTCATAGTACTGATTATCTGTCTCTGGGTCCCAATATTCCCACCTCTCAATGCTATCTATTCCTTCCAGTGTAGCAAAGGCTGTAAAGTGCACTTGTGTTGATGCTATAAAGTACACTTGTGCTAAAGTTGTTATAAAGTGCACTTGCGCTGAAAAAGCTATAAAGTGCACTTTTGTTAATATTATAAAGTGCACTTGTGCTAGAGTTATTATAAAGTGCACTTGCGCTGGAAATTGGAGGGATATCAATAGCAGCAAAGGTAAAGTGAACATTGACCTAGAGGTAGTATGCTGATGTAAACAGTTAGCAGGAACCCAAAGAACAGAACATAAAGTGCAATGGCTATGACCACTTGACCTAGGATTTTGGACCACTTAGTCGAGGTATGGAATCTAGCAAGATCTAAAGTGCTTAGAGTAATGATATGAGATTTAGCAGGAACTAAAGTGCTTAGATTAAAGTGACTTTGTGCTGAGATAGATAGTTCTAAAGTGCTCAATAATGCAAAGAATGTCTACTATAAATGGATTCACTTTCCAACCACTCAGTCAAGACAGACAGTTCGCACCGAAGAACCTAGGTCCTTAGGCCCGTGGAGCAAACAAGCCGGCACCCAGGGTCAGGTCTCCGGTTCTTCTTGGCCGTCTTGGGTGAAGATGATCCCAGCAGAGCAGATGGTAATCCGTAATGGAGACAATATATGCAATTATTGGTAACTCAGCAGCACAATTTTACGGATTGTCCGTTGTATAATGGATGTTGTTTGCACTTTTCGTCCTGACCTCAAGGCTGGAAGGATTCAGGACCCCTGTGGCAGGAGCAGTCTGAGACTAGGCCAAGGCATAATCTAGTTCAACCTGCATTGCATGAATCTCTACTCCATTATATGAATCTGATCATATAGTGCAGATTGGACCGGGTTATATGGCAGTGTAGACTGGGCTTCAGATTACATGTATTCATATGTCCAGATGTTATATGTGCACATAAGTGTAAGGTAAAGGTAAAGATTTGCCCTGTCATTAAGCCTAGTTGCGTCTGACTCTGGGGAGGGGGAAGAGCTGGCATTGTCCGTAGACATCTCCAAGGTTATGTGGCCGGCATGACTGCATGGAGCGCTATTACCCTCCTGCGGTACCTATTGATCTACTCATATTTGCATGTTTTCTAACTGCTTGGTTGGCAGAGGCTGGGCCTAGCAGCAGTAGCTCACCCCGCTCCCCAGATTCAAACTGCCAACCTTTAGGTCAGCAAGTTCAGCAGCTCAGCAGTTTAATCCACTGCACCACCAGGGTCCCCTGCACATAAGTTTATACACATGTAAATGGTGTATGTGTGTGAGAACATGGATTCTCAGACACATATATCTGCGCTCTAGCTCATGTGCATACATCAAGAATTGATAAGCATGAAGGTATGCTCAGGTCTTATTTGCAGAAAAAATGTACATACCAACTGATCCTATTAATGTGCACAAATGTGTCTGGCCCATTTTGCATATAAAACTCCAGTGCTCAGTGATCTAGTGTCATGGAGGTACAGGCAGCCCCCAAGTTTTGAACATTGGAGGTGCTGTAGGGTTATCTTAAGTTGAATTTGTATGGAAGTCAGAACAGGAACATTTTTAAGTGCAACTCCACCCAAATATCTATCTCTATATAGCTTTGGATGGCATAGGGAAAGGTTAACACCCCTGTGGTGTTCCTTTGCTCAGTGCCCCAATTCGGAAGATTCCACCTCACTTTCTGTCCCTGTGAGAATGCATTTTGGAAAATGTGGCTTCTTGTGGAAACTAGGATTGCAGAGAATGCTCCAGTGGAGACCCTTTTCCCCCCTCTTCCAGGAGTGGATTTCCCTTCCAAGGGAGATTCCTCTCACTTCCTGTTGTCTCAGCTCTGTCCTTAACTATGAGTTGTTGGTAAGTCGAATGTTTGTAACTCGGGGACTGCCTGATCAGAGTGGCTGCCACAAACAGCCATAGCTCTGTTCCAGCCATTCATGTGCCAGGTGCCAGTTTGCAGACTGGTGCCAACCAATGTTTATCTTCCCACTCCTTTCTCTGCTTTGTGCTGCAAATGCCCAGGCTCTTGGGGAAGTGCCACAATTGCCAAACCAGTCCAGAGGCAGTGGCTGCAAGGAATCACTTTATGGAAAAGATGCAGACGACAGTATCCTTTTGCTTGTTTTCGCTTTAGGGGGTGTTTTTAAAAATACAGCTGCAGAGATTACTCGATGAGCATTTAAGACTGGGCAACCAAGGCTGCAACTGGTATTTGGTATGGCTGCAACTGGTACGGCTGCAACAATTTACCTTTAAGCAGGTAGATTTTATATATCTATATATATAAATCTGTTAGGTTGGTTCAACGGGACAGCAAAACTCCACAACCCCCCAACGAAACTTAACCAAAATTCCCATGCCCATAACACAACCCACAAGGTACAAACATATCTACTCAAAATGAAAAACAACACAACAACACACTCACAAAACGGCAAAACAACAAAACTCAAAAACCCAACGAAACTTAACCAAAATTCCCATGCCCATAACACAACCCACAAGGTACAAACATATCTACTCAAAATGAAAAACAACACAACAACACACTCACAAAACGGCAAAACAACAAAACACAAAAAAACCCAACGAAACTTAACCAAAATTCCCATGCCCATAACACAACCCACAAGGTACAAACATATCTACTCAAAATGAAAAACGACACAACAACACACTCACAAAACGGCAAAACAACAAAACAAAAAAACTCCAACGAAACTTAACCAAAATTCCCATGCCCATAACACAACCCACAAGGTACAAACATATCTACTCAAAATGAAAAACAACACAACACCACACTCACAATACGGCAAAACAACTGAGCATGCTCATTGGCGCCCAGCCGCAAGTTCCCTGGGCGCACGCACAGCCTTCTGGCCAACGTTCCCTCTGCGGAAGCCATGCCCACTCCAAGCCTCGCCGCACCACTTCCCGCACACACACCCTGCCGCACGCACACACACAACCCCACGCTCCATCACTCCCCCCCCACACACACGCAACCCCACGCTCCATCACTCCCCCCGCCGCACACACACACACGCAACCCCATCACACCCCCCTGCCGCACACACACACACCCACTCCATCACTCCCCCGCCCCGCACACACACACGCAACCCCACCCCCCCGCCGCACACACACACGCAACCCCACACTCCATCACTCCCCCTGCCGCCACACACACACACGCAACCCCACCCTCCATCACTCCCCCGCCGCACACACACACGCAACCCCACGCTCCATCACTCCCCCGCCGCACACACACACGCAATCCCACGCTCCATCCTCCCCCGCCGCCGCACACACACACGCAACCCCACGCTCCATCACTCCCCCCCGCCGCACACACATGCAACCCCACTCCCCCCGCCGCCGCACACACACACGCAAACCATGCCCACTCCAAGCCCCGCCGCGCCGCTTCCCGCACACACACACCCCCTGCCGCACACGCACACACAACCCCACACTCCATCACTCCCCCCGCCGCCGCACACACACACGCAACCCCACCCCCCCTGCCGCCGCACACACACACGCAACCCAACTCCATCACTCCCCCCGCCGCCGCACATACACACGCCACACTCCATCACTCCCCGCCGCCGCACACACACACACAACCCCACGCTCCATCACTCACCCTGCCCCAATCTTACCTCCTTTTACTTCACGCCACCTCGAAACCCCACCCCACCCCTTCCCGCCCTGTCAAAATACAGGAAAGACAGGAAGGAAGGAAAGAAGGAAGAAAGAGAAAGGGAGGTAAAGAAAAAGGGGGAAGGAAGGAAAGTTAGAGAAAGAAGGAAGAAGAAAAGGAAAGAAAGGAGAGAAGGAAGAAAAGAGACCAGAAGAGAAAGAAAAAGGGGGAAGGAAGGAAGGAGAGAAGGAAAGAAAAAAAGGAATGAAGGAAGGAAAGAGGGAGTGAAGGAAGGGCGAAGATGTAGAGAAAGAGGGAGGGAAGGAAAGAAGGAAAGAGAGAAGGAAGAAAAGAGACCAGAAGAGAAAGAAAAAGGGGGAAGGAAGGAAGGAAGGAAGGAAGGAAGGAAGGAAGGAAGGAAGGAAGGAAGGAAGGAAGGAGAGAAGAAAAAAGGGAATGAAGGAAGGAAAGAGGGAGTGAAGGAAGGGGGAAGATGTAGAGAAAGAGGGAGGGAAGGAAAGAAGGAAAGAGAGAAGGAAGAAAAGAGACCAGAAGAGAAAGAAAAAGGGGGAAGGAAGGAGAGAAGGAAAGAAAAAAGGGACTGAAGGAAGAAGAAGAGGGAGCAAGGAAGGAGGAAGATGTAGAGAAGGAGGGAAGGAAAGAAGGAAAGGAGAGAAGGAAGAAAAGAGAAGAGAAAGAAAAAGGGGAAGGAAGGAAAGAGATAGAGAAGGAAGAGGAGAAGGAAAGATGGGAGGGAAGGAAGGAAGGAAGGAAAGAGGGAAAGAAGGAGAGAAAGAGGGAAGGTTGGCCACAGCAACACGTGGCGGGTAAAGGTTGTTATTTCTATTATTATTATGCTATTATTCCTATTAGACCCTGGGGGAATGGGAGAGGTGTCAGGTCCCAGAGGCAATGCATTGCATTATTGTTATTGTTATGATGGTGGTGAAATAAAAGGAAATAAAAAGTGAAAGAAGGAAGCAAACAGGGAGGGAAGAAAGGCAAAGGAAGAAAGGGGGAGGGAATGAAGGAAAGAGAGAAGGATGAAACCAAGTAGTGAAAGAAGGAAAGAAAGAAAGAGGTAGAGAAGGAAGGAAGGGGGAGGAAAAGGGGGAAGGAATAGGTAGGTACCTCTCTTTCATAATAGTCCAGATATCTACCTCAACTTTGATAAGTTTTACTATAGGCCACAGCAACGCGTGGCAGGGCACAGCTTTTATATATATATATATATATATATATAATATCTACCTGCTTAAAGGTAAATTGTTCTGTGAATTCAAGTCATATGTTTAAAAGCCTAAAATACCTATACCTCTCTCTCTCTCTCTCCCTCCCCCCCCCCTCTCTCTCTCTCTCTCTCTCTCTCTATATATATATATATATCTCTCTCTCACAGAGTTTCAGAAGAACTGGAACATTGGGATATTTCTGGTTTTGCGTTTTCTATTTGTTTGGCATTCTGACATCCTTGGTAGAGAAATTGCATTCTTCTTGACCTACCAAAGTGGCTCATTCATAGGTTAGGCCTTTGTGACCATTTTTTTCTCATGTCATCCTCATCTGGAATCGGTTATATATTTTTCAACTCTCCCTCCTGCCAGACAGAAATAGGATAATTCGATTCAGATGATGCGAAAGAAGGTGCACACACTTTTCCTGTTAACATACTAATTATAAATTTGCAAAGTGTTAAACGAGTTAAACACTACTGAGGATATTTTAGTCTCTGTTTTGAATAATGTTTGAAAGCCTTTAGGGGACTCAGGTACACAGCTAAATGACAGGTTTATTTATTTATTTACAGTATTTGTATTATGCCCTTCTCACCCCAAAGGGGACTCAGAGCAGATCAAAGAACACATATACAAAAAACATTCAATGCCAATTATACAATGACAAGATAGAGGTATATATAGGCTTTCTCATTTTCGCCTAAATACCTCCCCGCTTTAATGCGGTACGTATTTATCTACTCACATTGCTGCTTTTGATCTGCTAGGTGGGCAGTGAGCTGGGCTGATGGCCAGGAGCTCATCCTGACCCAGGCTTCAAACTACCAACTTTTCGATTGGCAAAATTTACTGCAGCTGGTATTTAACCTGCCGTACTAAAGCCTGGCCCCATAATAGGTTAGGTATTTCCGTAGAATAATTCCAAGTTGTCAGTCGCTCTCAGGCCCTTTCCTTTTCCCCCTCAGCCACTGAAGTAGAAAAGTAGAAGAAAAAGAAGGGACCTGAGGCTGTTAGAAATTGCGGAAGTTGAGGTCCAAAACACCTGGAGGGAGAGCCTATTTGTGGCCCATTACTGGCATAATATCATTGGAAAGTGGAGATGTGATGTTTTCGAATGGGAAACCTTTACCAAAGCCTCACTCATTCAAATCCACTTTCAAACGCCAAATAACATAATCAAGGTCTTCTGTATAATTCTTTTTTCATCAAAGGGTAAGTAAGTTAAATTTGATTTCTCTCCTGCCCTATCTCTGTCACCAAGGGGATTTAGGGCAACTCACAACATCAAAGGCAAATACTCAATGCCATAAAAAATGTAACAATAAATTGTACAAATGACACAATAATCAATAATAAAAAGTTGAAACAACATCAATAAAAATGAGAGTTAAGAGCCATATCCATATTGCATTCCCTGTTTCGTCAGGCCGGGTCTTTAAACATTCGTATCCCCATATGCCTGGGTACATAGGAAGGTTTTATTTGCTTCCCAAAGGAGGCCATGCATATAAAATCAAAGGTGAAAGCATTACATTTTGGAGATATTCCTCACTGTCACATTTATCCTGTGTCATGGAAGCTACCCGATCGTCACTCAACTATTATTATTATTATTATTATTATTATTATTATTATTATTAATACCCCGCTTTATCTCCCCAAAGGGGACTCAACGCAGCTTGACATAAAAGCATTAGTATACCATTTAAAATATACAGATATGCAAACATTAAAATAGAATGTATTATCAAAGGCTTTCATGGCCAGAATCACTGGGTTGTTGTGAGTTTTCCGAGCTGTAAGGCCATGTTCCAGAAGCATTCTCTCCTGACATATCACCCACATCTCAGAGGTTGTGAGGTCTGTTGGAAACTAGGAAAATGTGGTTTATTTATCTTTAGAATGACCAGGGTGGGAGAAAAAACTCTTTGTCTGTTTGAGGTAAGAGTGTGAATGTTTCAATTGGCCACCTTGATTAGCATTTAATGGCCTGACAGCTTCAAAGTCTGGCTTCTTACTGCTTGGGGGAATCCTTTGTTGAGAGATGATTAGCTGGTCCTGATTGTTTCTTGTCTGGAATTCCCCTGTATTTGAGTGTTGTTCTTTATTTACTGTTATGATTTTAGAGTTTTTTTTAAATACTAGTAGCCAGAATCAAGGTGGCCATTTACAACATTCACACACCTACCTCAAACAGACAAGAGTTCTTTCTCCCACCCTGGACATTCTACAGATATATAAACCTCATTTTACTAGTTTTCAACAGCCCATCACAACCTCTGAGGATGCCTGCCATAGATGCAGGCAAAACATCAGGAGAGAATGCTTCTGGAACATGGCCATACAGCCTGGAAAATTCACGACGACTATCAAAATAAATTAAACACATACAGCACTTAAGCATTCACAGTTAAAAACCATCAAAACAGTGAAACATTTAACAGCTGTCTTTCCCTACTTTGAAGCAAACATGTACAGCTCTCCTCTATCTTGTCTGCAAATCTGTCAGGGCCTTTTGTCACGAGTCAACTCTGCAGGGAAGGAAGGAGCTTGCATCGCAGTGCTTTGTTTTCCTTAGACTGATGGTCAGTTTTGCTCCCCTTCGCCAGCGTTTAGCCCAGTAGAAGTGAGAAGGGAGTTGCTGCATTTGAAGGGCCTCTGCTCCCTTATGAGACACTGCATGGAAGCAGAGACTTCAGGTAGGATATGTATTGGGTGGTGTTGATGCACAGTGCCCCCCAATGTCTCTAGCCTTTTATTTCCCAATTCAAAGACTAGAAATCAAGGAGATTAAAAATTGAATTATTTAGTGCTACACAACAACTAAGGGGCAGTCCTTACAATTAAGTCAAGCCAAGATAGCGTCAAGAAAAAGTGCCATGTTTGATTGTCATTGGATCATGGATTTTATAGTCTCAAATTGAGGCAAATACGCACACACCCAGAATCAAACTTCCTTTTGGGTTGCTGTAAATTTTTCGGGCTGTATGGCCATGTTCCAGAAGCATTGTCTCCTGACATTTTGCCTGCATCTATGGCAGGCATCCTCACAACCTCTGAGGATGCCTGCCATAGATGCAGGCGAAACGTCAGGAGAGAATGCTTCTGGAACATGGTCATACAGCCCGAAAAACCTACAGAAACCCAGTGATTCTGGCCATGAAAGCTTTTGATAACACATTTAACTTCCTTTTCCTTCTGCCTGTCTGCAATTTTCCTTCTCTCACCCTCAGCGCCTCTGTCTCTTTTTGCTTCCTTAAACATCCTTTGGTTTTCTCTTTTCACGTAAAGATTTCCTTGTGTTCCTAAACCATTTCTGTACATTTCAGGCTGTACTATTCATCCTAATGGTAAATATTTGTACTTGTTGTTTTTACCTTAACTGATGTTCTTACTATTTTAATATGTTGATGTAATTTTACCTCTATTTTTATGTATTATGGCACTTGCATGTGCTTCTGTAAGCTGCCATAAATCCTTCTGGGAGATGGTGGTGCGGTATAAATAAAGATATTATTATTTTATTATTATTTCTATGCATTCTTCTTCCCCCTGCCATTTTCTGTCAGGTCAACTCGATCCATTCCCTGACCTTCTGCACAAATTCACACACTTGGCTTAGCAACGCTTTAGCAACTCTTCCCTATTTCCACATTCCTTCACACTTTCTTGCTCTGTCCTCGCTTCTCTTTTCACCTATTCCAACTTCTTCTTTCTGAGAAATTCACTTCCTAGTCCCAACAATGGAACTTTGGCCATCAGATTGAACTTCTCTTCCTTAAAGGGTTCCATCTTTCTCACTTGCTGTGATCTCGCTTTTCTTTTAGCGTCTCTTGGAGAAAACCCAACATGGGAGAGAGAGCATGAAAGCCTCCTCACTCTGGAGGGTCTGCAAGTCATCGTTCAAGAGCAACTGGACAAAGTTCAGCAGTTGAGAGAAGGTGAGTGAGGAGTACAATTGAATAGTTCGCGGTTCATGGGCATAACAAGCCTCTCGCACTGTCCTTGCTTAATGGAGATCATAGCATAGATCTGAGTAGATCTGAGGAGGGGGCTATACCACGCACGGGCCACCTTCAACCTTCCCTCCAGGTGTTTTGGACTTCAACTCCCACCATTCCTAACAGCCTCAGGCCCCTTTCTTTTCCTTTTTCTTTTCCACTTAAGCAGCTGAGGGAGGAAAGGGAGAGGCCTGAGGCTGTTAGAATTGTGGGAGTTGGAGTCCAAAACACCTGGAGAGAGTGCCGAAGTTGGCCCATGCCTAGGCTATACCTATACCTCCCTTGTGGAAAACATGCTGTGCATAGGAGGAAGTCTCAGTTCTTTTCTCAGTTTTGAATCTCAAGACAAAAATAGGTAATTTTTCTTGCCTAAAACACTAGAGCAGCAGTTCTCAACCTGGGGGTCGTGACCCCCAGAGGGGTTGGGGGTGCCATTTTGGGGAGTCGCGAAGCTGCCTTGGTTGGCCCCGCCCCCACCAAAATGGCTGCTGACCCCTTGTGCCAGGCAGAAACCTAGTACTACTGGTCAGCTCCTCCTCCTGCTCTTCCCACAGGGCTGTTGGGTGGCAAGAGGAGGAGCGCTCAGGAAAAGGCACGCGCATGAAAAAGGCTCGCCTTTCTGCCCGGTCCACGCACCTTTCTGAACCTGGAAGGGCACGGGAGCCAGGCGGAGGGCTGCCCACACAGCCTTGCCTTGAGGGCAGCCTTTCTGCCCAGCCCCAGCGCCTTCCCGAGTTCGAAAGGGCGCAGGGGCCAGGCAGAGGGCTGCCCTCACGGCCTTGCCATTTGGGCAGCCATTCTGCCCGCCCGCGCCCCCCCCCCCCACCTTTCTGAGTTCGGAAAGCAGCCCAAGCCAGGTGAGTTCTGTGTGCCAAGTTTGGTTCAATTCCATCGTTGGTGGAGTTCAGAATGCTCTTTGATTGTAGGTGAACTATAAATCCCAGCAACTACAACTCCCAAATGACAAAATCATAATTTTTTGAGTGATGGTCACTCCTTATGTTGTGAGATGTTTTGTTGCCAAATCTGGTTTGATTTCGTTTATTGGTTCTTTTGTTTTTAAGGTACTCATTATGCACAGAGCATTTATATAGATATATATAGATATATTAGATTTGGGTGGCATAGGGAAAGGTCAACACTCCTGTGGTGTTTCCTTTGCTGCTGGTGCCCCTGCTCTGAAGGTGTCGCCTCACTTTCTGTCCCTGGGATCATTGGGTTTCGGAAAAATGCGGCTTGTTGTGGAAACAAAGACTGGGGATAAAGCGTCATTGGAGAGCCCTTTTCCCCATGATAATAATAACTCTTCCAGGAGTGGATTTCCCTTCCTTCCGAGGTGATGATTTCTCTCACTTTTTCTTGCCTCAGCCTCATTCTCAACTATGAGTTGTTTGTAAGTCCAATGTTTGTAACTCGGGGATGGCCTGTATTTGCTTTGTTATAAAAAGAAAACAAAGCTATCTGAGCTGATTCGTCTGATCCCCCTTGGAATAGACACAGTGGGTGGTGAGTTATCATTCTTTGGACATCTGTAGTCATGGGCTGGTGACTATTCATTTGATGGTGTGCTTGTCCGGCAGCGGCTGGACTGATTGGACTTTTATTTTACTATTTAGCTATAGCTGAATCTGTAACTTCATCCCATTGGATCTGGCCCTGCTCTTTGGGCTGCATGAAAGAGGCCATTGAGTCTGCAATGCCTCCCTCCCTTCTTACACCTAACCATATCCTTCTGATTTGTTCAGCGGTCTTCTCCTTTCCCATGACAGCTATGGAGTCCCATGCAGAGCTGCTTCTGGCTGAGTCGGTCAGTGGCAAGGGGTGTTCCTCTCAGGGAAATGCTTGCCTTGGAACAGAAAGGTGTTGGGATGCAGAAACGGTTGGGCCACCACCTCTGCTTTTTTACTCCAGCTCGAAGGAGTTGATGGACATGGAGGCTTTAAAGCTGAAAGTGGCAAAGCTCCAAGAGCAACTGGAAATACAGAAGGTAACCTCAGAGCAGCAGGAGGTGCTCAATGGCATTCAAGATATGTTCAGTCTTAGGGTCTTTCTACATCCTGAGCAAGAGCCAGTTGTCTCTGAGAAGTCCCTCATATGTTTCCATTATTATTATTATTATTATTATTATTATTATTATTATTATTATTATTATGTCTGGTTCTTGCCTATTCAGGTGAGTCACGGGCTTATCATCATCATCATCATTATTGTTGGGTTTTTTTTTACTCTTGTGTATTCAGATGAGTCAGCTGATGATGATGATTAATAAATAAATAATATTTTTGTATACTTTGTATTATTATGTATAGGCATCGAATTCTGCCTTTTTTGTAAGCCGCCCTGAGTCCCCCTCCGGGGGTTGAGAAGGGCGGGGTAAAAGTACCAGTAATAAATAAATAAATAATAAATAAATTATTATTATTATTACTATTATATCTGGCTCTTGTATATTCATGTAAGTCAGCTGCTTATCATCATCATTGTTACTATTATTATTACTATTACTATTATTATTATTATTTTATTATTATTATATCTGGCTCTTGCTTATTCAGGTGAGTCAGCTACCTTCAGTATATTTTCCCCCTTTTGGAAGAACAAAGGACAAGAAAGACATTAGAGATCATGAACTGCCCCAATTTGACTTGCCAAATTCTTTGTTGTTGTTGTTGTTTTGTTTTGTTTTGTTTTGTTTTGTTTTGTTTTGATGGAGAGAGCTTGCAAAAGTGTTTTTTTGGGGGGGTTTTTTTGTATTGCAATTCCACCCTTTTGCCTACTGAAAGGCTTTGCTTGGAGAAATAGAGGGGCATTTCCTTATTTTAAAAGTTGTCTCTTTTCCACACACAGGCCATGGAAGCTGAACTCCTCCCGCTTCTAGAGCCAGGATGCCTTCAAGAGGGTTCTCAAGCTTTATTGTTCCGTGCCATTTACACCTTGCTTTGCGAAGGGAGTGAGAGCTTCCCTGTCCTTGTCAATGATAGTGTGGAGTAATCCAATTGCTTGAGGCCAAGAAGAGACTTGGGATGTGTGCACAGTAAACAATTGTGCTCTGTTTGTGTTCGGTCCTGAAATGAATGATGTTTCTTAGATGGTTTTCAATGTAATCGTGCATTCAGATGTTATGCCTTTGCCCTACAGCAGACATGGGCAAATTCGGCCCTGCCTCCAGATGTTTTAGACTTCAGCTCCCACAATTCCTGACAGCCTCAGGCCCCTTCCTTTTCTTCTCCTTTTTTGCTTAAGTGACTGGTGGGGAAAAGGAAAGGGCCTGAGGCTGTTAGGAATTGTGGGTATTGAAGCCCAAAACACCTGGAGGGAGGGCCGCAGGTTGAAGAGGCCTGCTGTACACAAATGCTTTCCAGCCACAAGGTCCAGGAAGTCCTTCAGAGCTTCACTGAAAGCCATGTGGGAATGGCTGGCATTCACAAACAAACAGTCAAAATCTGTTCTGTACACAGCCTAAGACGACCTCAGATTGGACCAGGCACAAAAGGAGATTGATTCCATGAGCAGTTTTTGAGTCTACTGTTTGTCCTTCAGAGATGCGTTTGGCCATCTTGGGCATTTCTCTGCACTTTCTTGATACGCTTTTAAGTTCTACTCGCAACAAAGAATTAAGCCCTTTCCAAAGAGAGACCACCGTATATTTCAAATGTTCTGGAAAGGGCGCTTCCACGACCTGCGTCAATACTTATAGTAGGTTTAAAGATGAATCTTACACTCTGCCGCCTACGCAGTAGCAAGAATGAGCTAATTCTAAAATTCAGGATGCGGATTCTTGCGCATGGCTGGTTTGGTGGAAACAAACCGCATGCTCCTTGGGTGCCAGCGCTGTCAGTGTTCCCCTTTTTAGGACAGCTAATCCCAGAATCCTCTGATCAACAAAGTTGGGGGAATTCCTGGAAATGGTTGTCCACCAAAGAAACCTCCCCAAGCTCTTTGGATGCTAGCAAGAATGCAATCCTATTAATGCTGGAGTGAAGACTATGAGAGTCTTCCTCTTATAGACTGGTGTTTGCTTCAGTCTGGATTCTTGCCTATGGAGAGCCTTTGTTCCCAAATCCAAGAATTTTCTTCCCTGTTGGCCTGCGTCCTGGACACATATTGAGTTATTCGGAAAAAATACAAAAGAGAGGGACCAATGGAAACATTGAAAGAAAGGTCAGGTTTGAGTCATGATACGTAACTGGTTTCTGCCCGCTTTTAGAGATGTTCCATCCCCAAAGTCATGCTGAATAGTCCCCTCCAGCGTGGCGCCCATTAGAGACTAATTAGAGTGCAGATAATAACCGCAAGCACCAGCAGCAATTGTGTGGCTCAGCACCGGCAGAGGAGTGGGATTTGAATCACTTTGCCAGTCCTTTGTATGCAATCCCCCAGGAACTGGCAGCCTTCGTCTAGACCAGGCATGGGCTAACTTTGGCCCTCCCACCATGTGTTTTGGGCTTCCAACTCCCACAGTCCAAATCACATAGAGGGAGGGCCAAAGTTGGCCCATGCCTGGTGTCTTTCTGGCTCATAAGAAGAACATCAAAAGGATTGTTGTCACCTTTTCCTTCTGAAAAGCTATTTGCTCATGATTCTGGTTCTGTTCATGTTTGAAAACTTGGGAGTTCTGTAATGCTCAGCAAACAGATGCGCAGTGGCTTATTTGTATAAATAAAATGTAAGGGGAAAAAATACCATAGAAGAGAGTGATGAAAATGCTTTCCCCTGTTCCTGTTTTCCCTCTCGGGATACCTTTAGGCAAGCCACTGCCTTTCTGCCTCAGTCCTGTCACCTATAATCTGGAGGTAATAACACTATGTAACAATATTTGGAAAAAAATCTGCTTTGAAGGTGTTATTTCCTGTTTAATTGTGTAGTCCTTACTTTGAAAGTAGTTGTTCTGCTCCAGACTCTGTTGAATGGGTTGAGACTCAAGATATTCATTGAGAAACTACAGCCAAATGTGCTGCATGATGCCCCTCCTGTGAAAACAAAAGTTTTTTACAGTTTAATAAAAAAAATCCATGTTTTTATGATAGAACCGATTGGAAAATGACATTGATAACCCAAGGACAAAAATCATAATCCGGTTAATACAGACCAAACGACATTATATGTTCAGTATGGACTCATATAGTGCAGTTTAATTGCATTGAGTTGCATGTTATATAAGTCTATACTGACCATATAATGCAGTTTGATGTGCATTATTAAATAGCCAGTGTAGATGGGCCTTAGTAAAGTGTTGTGAGAATCTGGAGAGCTATAGCCAGGTGCACAATTGGAGCAATGGTTTGCCTTTGTCTGTCATGACCTGGTTTGGTGTGAAGCCAGGAAATAAGGCCATGACATAGACTTTTCCTATGTATATTTGAAATCTGGTAGAGGGTTGCCATGGAAATGAAAGCAATGCAGGGCAGAGGTCAGAATAAGACGTGAGGGAAATAAACTGTCGGTTATAACTTTGTCGTGTTCCCTACTGCATGCTTTTGAATTAAAGCCTTCCAACTTCATTTGTGAGGTAATTATTTTGCCAGAAAGCTACAGATCCAGACATTGTCTTGACACAGCTTCATATCACACTTGAGTTTTAACAGCTATTATTTATAAATACAGGTAATTTTTATATATTAATAGTTTGCTGTGTAGCTTGAAATGTCAGCAGTTGGTTGCCTTTGGCAATTAGACTTGTATATGCTATAAACAATTTGCTAATGGAAATGTACAAAGGCAACGTTGCAAAGCAGAACAGCCTTTCTACTCTCACATTGTTTATGGGTTGGCTGCCAAAACATATGGATTGTTTGATGTTTTTGTCAAATGTTTTCCTTAAAGACACATCTTGGCAAGTTTTGTTCTGGTTGGTCATTAAACCAGGTTTAGATGAATAAATGGTGAAACCGATTTTCCGATTTGGGGGCAGAAATTGTAATTTCAGACTTGCAAAGGCAACTTCATTACTTCTTTTTGGTGATATAATTCCTATTTTCTTTTAACGCCAAAGGAGAGTTATTTGTTTGTGACCAAATATTTGCTTTGCACATTTTGGCAAAGCAATTGAGTTCCATTCAGGAAGAAAAACGGGACATAAATAAAGATTTATTATTATTATTATTATTATTATTATTATTATTATTATTATTACTTGTTACTGCAGCACATTTTGCTCTAGCTTTTCAATGCGTATCTCATCAATCAGTCTCAATGAATTGCAATCTAGTATGTGCCACAAAAACAATGTTTCTGGAGTAGAACAACTACTTCCAAAGTAGTAAATAGTGCACAATTAAACAGGAAATAACACTTCCAAACCAGGAACAGAAAATGTTTCACATTTTGTTACATAGTGTTATATTGGAGTTTCTTTGCAAAGATTTTTTAAGCTGCTTGTCATTGAAGAATTATTGTTTAAATGTTTAGTATATAATTACTCTTAAGGACGAGCTCAGCTTTTTCCACAACCAGCGCTTAAATATGTTTGGCCTAATTGTTTAATAGGCCCCGACGCACATGTCTCCTCCTAATTGCTAATTGCGAACTGATCATTAAGTGCCCAAAATGGCACAGGAAGGAAATGTCAACAGGCACAGAGGAATTGCAAAGATCACAGAAGGAAGAAACGCCTTCCCACTCCAGAAAGCTACGATATGTCACCTAGCAACTTGTCACTGTCTCTGAAACCTTTGTGGTTGGAGAGGAAAGTGACATGTCATTGTTCTACTTGGAGCCACGTTCCTGATGCTGCCGTTGCTAAATCCGCACTGGATTTCTCTCCACCAGATTCAACAACATTGGAATGGAAAAAGGCTTCCAAAGAACCTATCTCCATCTTTTGGACCCTTTTTCTGTGCCTTTCTTGGTTTCTGGGGATGTAGTCAAAGGAAGACCAGAGTCGGACCGCCCTTGGTCCCTTTAAGAAGCTATGTTAGTGTCATCATTATGTGTTTTCTCTTTGAGTCCTTCTATCCACTTCTTCCATAGATGGCCGTTGCTCACTGCAGGTGTAAGTAAGCAACCTATATAGTATATGCTCAGGATTGATTAGGACAGGCATAGGCTGTTAGGAATTGTGGGAGTTGAAGTTCAAAACACCTAGAGGGCCAAAGTTTGCCCATGCCTATATTAGGAGCTTGCAAATATTACTTTTTAGCATCATCTAACCAATAAACGCACTAATGTAGCAGGACTCTTACAATCATCTGAATGTGGAGATGATATATACTGTGCTACTTTCTCTGTTTGTTTCGCACATATTCCCACTTTGCAGATGAAACAATGAGGCGGAAGAGATCATTATACAAGGTTGCACAAAGCAGGCCATGGCAGAGATAAGGCATACTCAATGTAAGAGATACAGACACACATGTAAAATGTAATAACAAAATGAATGGAGACACAATATATAAAAGCCCATGATCTGTAAGGTAATGACATACATTTTCAAGGGAAATGTATTAGTGCACTGCAATAATCGTCAGCACCTTTGCCGCATAAAAATGCACACACATTGTCATTGCTTTTCAAAGGTTTCTTGTTACATTTACGTGACATGCCTACACTCTGCAGCTGGCACACTTAACATGTCGCAACCCATGGTTGGAAAGTTTTTCTCTGGAAATGCTAAAAAAGTATGGGGTTTTCTGTTGTGTTGGTGGGCTCCCAATAATGGAGGAAAAGATTCTGGATGAAATCACCATTTGGTTTATCCAAACAGGCTCTTCTTATATTCTGTGGGCAAAAACATTTGCCCACGGCACTGCATTTGTACACTGCAATCCGCCATGTGCAATCCAGTTCCAGCGCCCACAAAAGCGAATTAAGTACTTTCAAGTTTTTATGACGCTACATTGTCCTCGGTAACGCAATGGGTTAATCCCTTGTGCCAGCAGGACTGCTGACCGATAGGTCAGTGGTTCGAATCCAAGGAGTATGGTTGAGCTCCCTCTGTCAGCTGCAGCTCCCCATGCAGGGACATGAGAGAAACCTCTCACAAGGATGGTAAAACATCAAAACATCTGGGCATCCCCTGGGCAACGTCCTTGTAGACAGCCATTTCTCTCACACCAGAAGCGACTTGCAGTTTCTCAAGTTACTCCTGACACCCACACAAAAAAAGTTCCAAGCGACACTCTGCTGCCACTGGAGGGCACCGGAACCTCACCATTGCCTCTTTCCTCCTCCGTTATTCTTGTTACTGTGTGAATGTAAGCTAGATCAAGATTACAATGCTGGCCCATCCATCCACCATCTTCTAAGGGTGGCAGGTGGATCAGGCATTTGCATCTTTCTCCCCTGAAAGAATGAGTCATTCAGATCCAGCTGGGCCGATTCATATTTGCAGAAAACAAACAGATAATAACATCACCAAGTTTATTTGGTTAAGAAAGCTTTCTCCTTGCATTGGTCCCAGCAGCCAATGCGGTACCCAAATGCAAAGATGGACAAGCTCCCAGCTTCCCATCCTGCCTTTAAAAACAGAACTAGCCACAGTACAGTGCAGGGCTTTCCACCATCAAATCAGTATAGTCTGACACCACCATGGTTCAATGTTGTGGGATCTGACCAGGTCTTTATCCTTCTCTGCAAAGAGTTACAGTACTTGGCCAAACTCCAAGGATTCCTTAGCACTGAGCCATGGCAGTTAGAGTGGCAAAGATTGTATTAATGTTGCAGCATAGATGCAGGCCCGGTTGTAATTGGCCTCTTCCAGGTTCCTCTCCTAGATATTTTGTCCATCTGCTGTTGTCCCACAAACTTTGATGCATGGATAGTACTCTTTTGGTAGTTAGAGGATGCAGCAATGCTTAATGCATACCTCGGGTAAATGCACTGGTGCCTGATGTGGCCCTCCCCATCCCATTGCGTTTCCTTCTGTACTGTGAGTTTCCAAACTGCTCTTGAGGACAGGCCTGCTTTTCTGCTGATATGTCTAAGCCGCTGTGGGCCTTTTGACTGAAGAACGGGATGAAAGGGTTTTTGGATATATTTAACAGACTTTCCCTGCTGCTTTCTTTTGACACGCCAAGAAAAGTTGGAAGACGGATCCCATTTCAGTCGCTTTCCCTTTTCATTCAGCAGCAGGAGATTGACTCTCAGTGGCTGCTGCCAGCTTTTTAACCTTTCCCCATTTTTGTGCTTTTAAAAAGCTACAGAAATGTCAATTCTTTCTTCCTGCATATCATTTTTTGTGTCAGGAGCGACTTGAGAAACTGCAAGTCACTTCTGGTGTGAGAGAACTGGCCATCTGTAAAGATGTTGCCCAGGAGACACCCGGATATTTTTGATGTTTTACCATCCTTATGGGAGGCTTCACTCATGTCCCCACATGGGGAGCTGGAACTGACAGAGGGAGCGCATCCGCGCTCTTCCCACATTCGAACCTGCAACCTGTCAGTCTTCAGTCCTGGCGGCACACCACTACATATCTTGATTAAACCTGATCCCCTTCACCTCACCCTGTCCTTTGTCAACTGGCAAGCAACTGCTGTTTCATTGACTATTAAAGAAGATTCTATGAGACCATGGCATTTAATAGGCAAGTTCCTCCCATGGATATTTAAAAATCAACCACAGAAAACAGAAATGACGTATCCACAGGTCAATCTATGATCATTCGCATTTTCTGACAGCAGACCGCTTTTTTGTTCTGAACCCTTTGGCGTTGGAAGCTGCATTCCTTTAGTGAAGGAGATCC